AAGCAGTGGTATCAACGCAGAGTACTAATACCGCTTACAGAATGTGCAAAATTTCCCTGAATATCGCAAAATTCCGAAAATTCCATAACAGACTGCTCTACATACAATACCGCTCATAATTCGTCAAAAAAGTCGCCGGACTGCGGCGGAGTGCGCCGGAGTGCGGCGGAGTGTGGTGAAGTGCGCCGCACTCCGGCGACTTTTTTGACGAATTATGAGCGGTATTGTATATGAAGTGAGTGGAAGGAAATATACATATATTAGGTGTATAATAACATCAAAAAGTGGGCGGGGCTTACAGTTCACAGCTAAACAGCGATAAAATCGATATTTTGAGCTTAGAGAACTATCAAACCTCAAAAATCGATAAAATCGACATTCTGGAGGTTGCAAAATCCCGAAAATTGGCGAAAATCGATATTTTGGAGGTTGCAAAATCCCGAAAATTGGCGAAAATCGATATTTTGGAGGTTGCAAAATCCCGAAAATTGTTAAAAATCGATAAAATCGATATTTTGGAGGTTGCAAAATCCCGAAAATTGGCGAAAATCGATATTTTGGAGGCTGCAAAATCCGAAAATTGTCAAAATCGATAAAATCGACATTTTGAAGGTTGCGAAATCCCGAAAATTGACAAAAATCGATATCCCAAAAATCGGCAAAATTGATAAAATCGACATTTTGAAGGTTGCAAAACCCCAAATCGGCACAAATCGATAAAATCGATATTCTGGAGGTTTCGAAATTTCGGAAATCGGTAAAATTATTGAAAAACTAAGCGAAAAATTCGAAGAACTCCATAATAAGCTCATTTCCAGTGCTTTTATACAGCTGAATTTCCAAGCAAGCTCCGCCCACTTTATACCCCACGCCACGATCGAAATTGAAGAAATAAGAAAAATTAAGAAAAAATAAGCGAAAATCGCGTTTTTCTAGCCCGATTTACCCCCTTTTTTAGCCGTTTTCAGCCCCTAACCAGGTCCAGATGGCCGCGGGAAAACTGTACACGAAGCGGTAATAAAGAGAGGGGGAAAAATAAGGGGGGAGAGAGAAAGGGGGGAGAAAGAGGAAAAATCGCGTGTCTAAGTTTTTTTTTCAAGTCCGGGAAGGTTCATAGATAGGCTCCCACAGCCGGAGCCCCTACATTTTCTCCGAATTATATGTGGTGTCCCCCTCGGATACAAACTGAAGAATGGCTATCCCAGCTCGTCATCCCTACTC